GCCTAAACCATAGGAATGGGCCTTAAAGGGAACTGGGAGAATGAGAATCTGGGTTTTCAGCTCCTGAAGGTAGGAGGCAGGGAGGGATATTCTTCACAGTAAGACTCTTAAGGAAGGGGGTTCCAAAGCTGGGCCACCTAAGAGATGATACACAGACATTATCCTAGAATGCATACTAGAATCTTCATTGATTAGAGATGACATCTTGCCTAGAGCTCAGTAGCAAAACCCAGTACTATAAAGTTAAAGATTATAAACAAATTGCTTAAACTGCATAAAAACTAAATTAAATGCTTTATTTCTTAATATTCAACTTGTAGTGATAAATTGCTTAAATTAACAAGAGGCCACATTGATACCTCCCCAAAGGAGTTCATAGAATACAGTTGCCAGATCACTTTATAATAAATAATGGTTTACCAGATCTTTCCAATTAAGGGTATTCTAAACTTTAATTATTTGACTAGAGTACCATGAGATACCAAGCTTTAAATTCAAAGTACAATTTAAAAATAATTACTCTTTACATATGCAACAGTGGCAACTAATACAACATATAAATAGGTCCCAGTCTCTGGGTCCTCAAATCACATAACAAACTGAAGAGACCTCTAGAAAATAGTTATTAATTTTACATTAATTAGAAAAACTTGGACAGTACCACAACTTTGCTTTAAAACCCATGAGGAGTTCAATAACAATTAGGCATGCAATTGAAATTACTGCAGAATTACAAAGGATTTCTATTCAGTTTTAATTATCCATATAAATTAAAGTGCAGTAAATGAGGGGCAGATCCTATGAGTCAAATAAGTTTTGAAAGTTTATCTTTCATTGATTCAAAGAAAATTGAGAACAAAACTACATGATATTTACTTTCCAGTCTTTTTCACATTTCTTACTATTGTACAAATAAGAAAACAGATGTGAAAGCACTCTATAAACTATAAAGCAGAACATAAATACATATCATTATTATAAACCATTTATTAATTTATGGTATAGTTTTGTTTTCCCCCCCACCCCCCAAGAAAGTAGAAATGAATCAACTTCCTAAAATGGGAGTATAGGTGGATGAGATAAAAGAACCGAAATTCATATAAAGATACTAGAGGCCCGGGGCCCGAATTCGTGCACAGGGGGGGTCCCTAGGCCTTGCTGGCAATCAGGGCCGATCGGGGCCATCTTGCCCAGTCCCGATTGGGGCCGGGCCAATCAGAGCCTGCCGGCCTAGGGGAGGGGCAGGGGGAGGGACCGGGGGAGGTTGGCCAGCCACAGGAGGTTGGCTGTAGGAGCCCACTGACCACCAGGTGGCAGCTCCTGCATTGAGTGTCTGCCCGCTGGTGGTCAATGCACCTCATAGTGACTGGTTGACCGGTCATTCCAGTTGTTCGGTCATAATGGCCGCTTAGGCTTTTATATATAGATTTTTTGAGTTTGGCTCTTAACAAATGCAGGGGGACAGGGCTATCATTTGAAGCTCACAAATAAGAGAAAGATCACCCACGAAGAAGAAATTTTAAAATATGCTCAAAATTAGAGACAAAATTTTCATTTTACTCACATAGACTATGCTAAAGCAAGGGATACATCGGTGAAAAGTAAGTTATTAACTGAAATGAGAGAAAGCCAGGTTTGCTTTAGTTTTTTAACTTTAAAATCAATTAATAAGCAACTGTTACCATCCAATAGGGCTCATTACATAATTTCCAAAGTGTAAAATCTGACGATGTTGCATTAAAATAAAATATTTTTATTGATTTCAGAGAGGAAGGGAGAGGAAGAAAGACATAGAAACATCAATGATCAGAGAGAATCATTGATTGGCTGCCTCTTGCATGCCCCACACTGGGGATCGAGCCCACAATCCAAGCATGTGCCCTGACCGGGAATCGAACCGTAACCTTCCTGGCTCATAGGTCGACACTCAACCACTGAGGAACGCTGGCGGCCAAGCTTAAAATAAAATTTTAACCAAAAATAGTTATTGTCATACACTGGAAAACACAAATATGTTAAATTGGAATTCTAGAATAAGAGAAAAGAGGATTAAAATAATATTTGAAAAGATAAGCACTGAGTACTTTCCAGAAATGTTTAAAGATGTATACTCCAAACTAATTAGTTCACAATTAAAGAAACCTGACAAATTCTTAGCAGGACAAATAAAAAGAAATCCACAAGTGTGTATCCAAAAATGAATATAAGTAATGAAACTATACCCCCAAATAAAAGGGGGTTAGGGCAAGTCTTAGAAGCAGTCAAAAGAAAAAAGAAAAACAGCTACACTAACAGCTGGCTTGTTATCAGGAACAATTAGTAACAATAAAAATCAGAAGACAGAATATTTTAAATATGCTGAGAAAACAATTGTCAGCTAAGCAAACCCAACCCAGTGAAAATACCCTTCAAGAAAGAGGGTTAAATTGCCCTGACCGGTTTGGCTCAGTGGATAGAGCGTCAGCCTGCAGACTGAAGGGTCCCAGGTTCGATTCCAGTCAAGGGCATGTACCTTGGTTGTGGGCACATCCCCAGTAGGGGCTGTGCA